CTCTGCTTTCTCTGTGTTTTATTTTTATTCACGTGTGTGTGTGTGTGTGTGTGTGTGTGTGTGTGTGTGTGTGTGTGTGTGCGCGCGCGCGCGCGGTACCCTTGGAGGTCAGGCAAGGATGACAAACCCAAGGATGTTGTGTTCGCTGTCTGTCCTTAAGATTTCTATTTAACAAGCCCAGGTGTGAAGGCACGCACCTTTAATCCCAGAGCTTGGGAGGCAGAGGCAGGTGGATCTCCGTGAGCCTGAGGCCGGCGTTGGTCTACAAAGTTCCAGGACAACCAGGGTTATGTAGACAGACCCTGTATCCAAAACAACAGCAACAATAACAACAAAAAGATTTTTTTTTTTTTTTTTGGTTTTTCGAGACAGGGTTTCTCTGTGTTGTTTTGGAGGCTGTCCTGGAACTCGCTTGGTAGTCCAGCCCGGCCTCGAACTCACAGAGATCCACCTGCCTCTGCCTCCCGAGTGCTGGGATTAAAGGCGTGAGCCACCAACGCCCGGCAACAACAAAAAGATTTTAACAGATGTACCATATGTTCTTCAAAGCCGCCGTGGTTTAGCCTCGTCCGGGAGTCCACCCCTTCCTAACATCCCCTGTTCATAGAGGGCCGGGGTCCTGTTTAGTTTTGTTGTCAACTTGACAAGCCTGGGAAGAGGGGACCTCAGCTGAGGAATTCCCTCTATCACACACACTTGTGGCTATGTCTATTCGGGCATTTCCGGGTCCAGCCTGTTGTGGGGGTTGCCATGCCTGGGCTGTATAAGAAAGCAAACTGATTTAAGTCATGAGGAGCAAGCCAGTGAACAGTGTTGTTCTGTGGCCTCTGCTTCAGTTCCTGCCTCCGGGTTCCTGCCCTGACTTCCTGCCATGACTTCCCTCAGCGATGGACCGTAACTTGTAAACCTCTTCCACCCAAGATTCTTTCAGTTGTGTGTTTACCGCAGCAACGGAGAAACCAACTGCAGTAACAGTTAAGGAAGGGAGGGACAGAACCAGGCCCTTGGATACTAATAACATACGTTTTGCTTGCAGAGTTTACTGTGCAGTTTCCGACTAACTGGGGGGTTGGATCATGGTAACCAGAGTAGAGCAACATCTTTCTGACTCCCCGAGTGGGATTCTGGGTGGTGCATAAGGCAGAACAGCTGATGGCTGAATAACCCCAGGAGGCTGGTTAAGGTTCTGCTCCAGGAAGAGGTTATCAGAGCTAAGAAACCCAGAGGCAGGTGACCATTCTGTCGTGGCAGGGTCATAATAAGGGTTTTGTGGAGGGACAGGGTGGCACCCAAGGCCATTTACTGGCAGAGTGGTCTCCATCCATGAATAAAAATTGAGAGGGGCTGAGGAGACGGCTCAGCAGTTAAGAGCACTGGCAGATCGTGCAGAGGACCCGGCCTCAATTCCCAGTGATCACACAGTGGCTCATTACTGTCGGTAACTCCAGTCCCAGAAGGTTTGAGCCCTCTTCTGACCTCCTCTGCCGGCGCCAGGCATGCACACAGTACACAGGGGCACACTGGGGTGCCACATGCCCAGGAGCCAGTGGGGTAGTGAGGGAGAGAGAGAGGACAGAAAACATCTTCTTTTCTTCTTTCCTCCCCCTCCCTTCCGTTTTATGTTAGGTATATGAGTGTTTTGCCTGCATGTATGTGCACCAGGACTCCCTGGAACTAGGGTACAGACAGTTGTAAGTCGTCGTGTAGGTGCTGAATGTTGAACCCCAAACCTCTGCAAGAGCAGCCAGTGTTCACTGCTGAGTTATCTCCCCTTCGTGTCTTTTTAACTTTTATTATTATTATTCTTGTTGTTATTATTATTGTTATCATTATCATTATTGTTATTATTATTAGTGTGTGTGGGTGTGGGTGTGTGCATGCTGTGGCGCATGAGTGGAATTGGAGGACAAATCTCTGGAGTCAACTTTCTCCCTCCACCATGGAATCTAAGAGCTCAAGTCTGGCCATCAGGTTTGCACAGACAACACCTGCCCCCCTGAGCCGTCTCGCCTTTGACGGGATTCTCACAGACCGTAGCCCACTCTAACCAGAAACAAACCAGAGAACGAAACACTGAGTTTGGTAGCTGATTCTAAGTAAGACGACACATCAAAAGCTGTCATAGGATCAACTCTGTTGGTAAGGTTTCTGTCATTGGACACAGGAGTCACTCACTGGCTTGGTGGGGAAAGACACAGCTTTTTAAATTAACTTGACAGGAGCTAGGGTCACCTGGGAAGAAGGATTCTCCACTTAGAAAGTGTCTTCATAAGATTGCCTTGTGGGCGTGCTGGAGAGACGGCTCGGACCACTGACTGGCAGCTCTTCCAGAGGCCCCAAGTTCAATTCCCAGCAACCACATGGTAGCTCACAACCATCTGTAACGAGATCTGGCGCCCTCTTCTGGTGTGTAAGCATACATGCAGGCAGAACACGGTATACATAATATATAAATAAATATTTTTTTTAAAAAAAGGTTGACTTATGGACAAGTCTGTGAGGCGTTTTCTTGATTAACGATTGATGAAGAAGGGCCCAGTCCACAGTCCACTATGAGTGTTGGCACCCCTGGGCAAGGGTCCTGGGCTGTATGGAGAGCAAGGCAGTAAGTAGCATCCCTCCATAGTCTCTACGGCAGTTCCTGCTCCGGGTTCCTGCCTTGGTTCCCCTCAGTGAGGAACTACAGCCTGGAAGATGAAATAAGACCTTCCCTTCCCCAAGCAGCTTTTTGGTCACATGTTTATCACAGGAATAGAAAGCAAACTAAGATATGGAGGATACTCAAAATCCACACCACAGCATTGACGTTATAAGTAACCTAGAAACAATTCCAAACACTGTCTGGGGGAGTATGCATAGAAGAATATATCGAGGAATGTATATGCATCACATAAGAATGAGCGGCAAGTACTACGTTACGTTATGTGAAGGACTTGAACATCAGACTTGGGTATCCCTGGGTGTCTTGAGCCAATGCCCCATGGATTCCACACTCTGACTGGGCATCTATCTACTACTCTTCTCGAAATGGCAGACTTTTCTGGGATGTCCTGCACAGGAAGAAATAAACCCAAAACGATGAGCTGTGTTTCTAGCCCATGTGCCTAGCCTGGGGATTTAGGAAGGCTGCAGATATGGAGCTCTCTCCTGAACCAGTCAGATCAAAATGTTTCTTTTTAGGAAAGTTAGTAGAGCAGTTACAGTGCAATTGAGCCCAGCCCTCTGAGGAATTCCTAAAATATAAGATGTACTGAAAAAACAATACACCCGGATAATAACCCAGCCTGTCCTCATGGTTTTCTCGTGTCTCTGTTACATCTTTCCTGTACCTTCTCAACCCAACGGAAGTTTTCCTGACCATTTTGGGCACCTTCTGGGCAGATGCATGGGTGCAGGGACCAGGAGCCTGTGACAGGATGATCACAGTCCACTCAGTGAACAGACAAAGGGTTACCTACAAACCATCACTGCTCCAGGGAGCCACTCAGATTCCTAGCAATGTCTCCAGTATCGGGGTTCCAAGAAAACGACATGAAACTCCAAATTTGTAATACAAACGCACTGTATAGCTTCATTCTAAGGAAGTGAAAATCACCACACGAAACCTTTGTTTAAGAGCCACCAATCCACGGGGCGTTGGTGGTGTTGGTGGTGCACACCTTTAATCCCAGCACTTGGGAGGCAGAGCAGGCAGATCTTTGTGAGTTCGAGGCCAGCTTGGTCTACAAGAGCTAGGTTCCAGGACAGCCTCCAAAGCCACAGAGAAACCCCATCTACAAAACAAAACAAAACAAAAGCCACCGGCCCTTGGGAGTCAGACGCAGGCAGATTTCTGTGAGTTTGAGGCTAGCCTGACCTACAGAGTGAGTCCCAGGATAGCCAGGGCTCTCTGTTAATGGAGAAACCTTGTCTCAATAACCCTCCCGAGAGAGAGAGAGAGAGAGAGAGAGAGAGAGAGAGAGAGAGAGAGAGAGAGAGAGGTGGGGAAGCCAGGGCCATAGCTAAGTGGTAGAGCACTAGCTACTGGGCACAAGGCAAGGATTTCATCCCCAGAACTACAAAAGAAAGGTCCCCTTGCCTTGTGTGCTAACTAAACAAGCACTGCACACACTAGACGCAGTGTACATCTGAGTGACCTGGGAGCACCACCTATGTGATTTGTGGCGATTTGATCATCAGGAGCGTCTGTGTATCTGCAGGGACCGTGTAACATTTATTTACTGACATCAAAAGATCTATGCCTCAATCGAAAAAGCAAGTCATCTGGCTGGCAAGATGACTTGATGGGTAAGCTAGAAAAGGAGGGAGGCTTTGTCCTACTTAGTGGATACCTCGGACTTCCTAACAGATTTACAAGAAAGGAAGGCACTGACAGGGAAAAGGCTCAACGGGAAAAGTGCTTGACACCAAACCTGACAACTTGAGTTCAGTCCCCTGGATCCATATGGGAGAAGTAGAGAGCAAGTTAAGTTGTATTCTAACCAACACACACACACACACACACACTCTCTCACACACACTCACATACATACACACAAACACACACTCACACACACACTCACACACACACACACACACACACACGGTGGGAGGGGAATGGAAGAGAAGAGAATGCAAAAAATGAGAAAAAAAGTGCAAATTACCAAAGAAAAAATGTAGGTAGAGTATACCGTCCCATATCTGAGGGGAACCGTCTGGAACAGAACCAAAGGTCAGAGACGGTAGGAGGATTTTCCTTAACAATCGCCTCACTCACACAAAGAGATTTACTATTTATGCGGTGTGTCTTGGGTTCTTCGTCTGGCATGTCTTCATGTTATCGTCTCAAAGGTGTGTGTTTGCACATATGTGGTTACTTTTAAATTATCCTGCTCCGTGCAACAATCTCCTTTCGCACGCAGCAGTGTTCTAAGAGACTTGATGACTCCCCGGTCTTCTTGCTTTCCCGCCCCCCTTCCCCCTGCCCCCCTCCAAATTCAGTCCCTTCTTTCTTCCTCCTTCTCAAGCCAGCTTTTCTCCCTCCATTTCTAGCAGTCAGTGGGAATCGTCCCGCAGAGCGTTGCTCCGTGGGCGCCGCTGCACATGCCCCTCGGTGGAAGGTTCCGGCGTTACTGCGTGGGAGACGGAGGCCTCAGAGTCCCAGATGCTGCGCAACGCTCTCGCGGTTGTCGCTACAAAGGGACCGCTGCACATGGCAGGCCAGCAGATGCCAACAGACAGCTTTTGTGAGTCCTTCATGTTAATTAACTTTTGTGAGAACCTTCATGTTAATTAACTTTGCTTGGGCTTTCCCTCAACTTGAAAGCTTTGGAGTGGTTTGTTTTGTAAAATGCTTTGACTCCAGGGAGAGCTGCTTCAAGGGGGGAAAAAGTGAGAAACAAAGACAGGGAAAATTTTTTAAGCGGGCTCTGCTTACCAGGGAATTTCTTCCCTTGTCTGCGTCCGTCCCCTCCCCCATCGAGGCTAACTCCACCATCAGAGAGAATTTTAATGGCCTTTTTTTTTAACCCTAAAACACTCAACCAGAAGCAGACCTCCACGGCAGTGGGAGCCGGCTTTGAATCTTCCGGGGGAACACAGGTGCATGTGTGTGCGCCTGCACATGCGCCTGCGAACGCTGCGTTTAAATACAAAGCACGAATGAGCAGCTTTTGGGACAAAACTTACAGAACTCAGAGGAAAAGGAAAACGAGCTAGAGTCTCGGGGGCCAGTCACGATTAATTTTAAAATGTGCTCTTCCCAACTCTCAGAAACTTGGGTCGGCGCTCCTGGGGGGCACTTTCGTTGGTTGTTGGACTGGTTGTTAAAAAGTTCCAGCAAGGACAAAGCAAGAGGAGTGGACCGTCCCAGCAGCCACCCGGCGTTTTACAGAGTCATCTGCTTCCAGACCATAGATTGGATGTTATTGTTGTTTGTTGTGACATGGCCTATCTCCGTGGCCCTGGCTGGCCTGGATCTCACAAAGATTCACTGCCACTGCTTCTGAATAAAGGTTGCTTGCTACCAAGCTTGGCAATAATATTTAATTTCGTTTTTAGATTTAACAACCATCCAATATATGTCTTCAAGCTGACCAACCCAAATATTAGCAGAGGAAAACCTCTTCAGAGGCTTCCAAACTCCCCAACCCTCAAGAAGAGGCTGGATATTTTTGGGGGGTTTCCGAGTCCCCTGTCTGCATTGCAGAGAGTCTTTGTCTTCCCGCGTCTGTTTTCTCACCCCCAACAAACACCTTTCTTCAGCTGCCGAGCCTGTCTGCAAGCGACTTCACTGCTGCCCTACTGTGCTTCCGAGTTTTCCTGCCTTTCAATTCTTTAACTGACAGGGAAGGTCTGTGTCAGCGGTGCGGGTCCCCTGGAACTTGAGTTACAGGCAGTGGCGGTGAACCACCTTGTGGGTGCTGGGAATTGAACCCAAGTCCCCTGAAGGCGCAGCCAGTGTTCTCAGCCTACTTAGCGCCACCTCTCCAGCCCCTCCGTTTTCTGTTCCAACGACTAACTTTACAGCTTACAGTTTCCCTAACTCAGTTTCGAATTTTTTTTCTTCCCTTAACCGTTTTTTTGCTGTCCAATCACCCAGAGGGTCGTCTCTCTGGGCTTCTAAGGGCTACAGTGTCCTTGCTCTGCTTCCCCTCCCCGCCCCCTCCCCCCATCACCAGTTACATTGTCTCTCTTCCGGCAGGGGAAGTGCTTTGTACTTCCTTCCTCTCCTGCTCTGGCTTCCTGCCGCTCAACAGTCCTGTGGTTGTTTGGCTGACGATTTTTTTTTCCTCTCTCTCTACATCAATTCTGTGCTGCGTGCTACAGTAGTCAAGATCTGGCGGGTTAGATGGATGTGTGCTCCACTTCTCACATTAGATATTTTTATCGCTCATGGAAGTGTGATAGTGCATCTGAACCCCCCCCACACGCACCTTCTTCTTCTTCTTCTTCTAATTCTCCCCCCCCCCCACCCCTGGAGATTGGACCTAGGGTCTCACACACACTGGTCAACCGCTTTCCTACTGAACTGCATCTTCCGCCATCCCGTCTGACTTTCTGGCTGACAAGTAAGTGGGTTGTTTTGCCTGGACATCCTGAGGGTTTCTTTCCACGGTCTTTAAAGTTGGGTGGGGTTTCATAGGCTATCTCTTAGCCTTGTTGTTTGCTGACTTTTCAAGTTGTGTCATAACCCCACTCTGTATAAAGATTGAAATCTTGCCTTAATTTGCAGAAAGCTGTTAAGAGTGCAAAATGGAATATAAACTCCGTCCCAATGTCCCGTTTGCTGCTTTATATGACACAATTATCCTGTGTTGGACCTTCTCTGTGTGGCTTCTTTTTTGGGCCCCTTTGGACCGCCCATTTAATTTCTTTATCTCATCTGAATTTTTTTTTCATTGAAGAATAATGTTTGTATATCTTTACCGAGTACGGCGTGATGCCAAGCACATTGACACACTGCACATTAACACGCTGTAGTATTGGTTGTCTATCATCTCAAACGTGCAACGCCTCTTTGTGACACGAACGTTCAAAATCGTCATGCTTGAATAACAGTGGCCTCCATAGGCTCATGTCTTTGAACGCGTAGTCAGCCAGGTAGTGGCACTATTTGAGAAGGATTGGGAGGTGTGGCCTTGTTAGAAGTGCAGCAACTAGAATGGGTTTTGCGGTCCCAAAGGCCCCTGCCAGACCCAATCTCTTTCTCTCTGCCTGCGTGGATCAGGATGAAGTTCTCAGCTGCTTCTCCAGCACTGTGCTCTCTGTCATGATGACGGTGAAAGAAAGTCTCTGAAGCTTTATGCAAGCTTCTGTTTCTGTTACAAGCTCTGCTGTCATCCTGGTGTCCCCTTCACAGCAATAGAACAGTGGCTAAGACACGTCTCTCTCTTTTTTTTTTTTAAGATTTATTTATTACATATACAGTGCTACCTACATGCCAGAAGAGGGCACCAGATTGAATTATAGATGGTTGTGAGCCACTATGTGGTTGCTGGAATTGAACTCAGGATCTCCCCTGAGCCATCTCTCCAGCCCCCTAAGACACATATCTTACATATACTTTGAATTACAGTACTCATCTTATTTCTCCTGGTTATTAGCCTGCCTCTCCTCAGTACCCCTTGTGAAGTTCTCCATGGAGAATGCAATTTATTCTTCATTACTGAACTAATGCATTTCCCCTAACACTTTCCTTGAACCGAAGAAACGCGTCATGTTGCATGTATTCCTGTTTTGGGGTCCCCTCTCTAGTCAAGTTTAAGGAAAATTGACATTCTAGGGTTCTGAAACAATGATCCATCTCCAGATATTGATTTTAGGGCACTTGGTCCAGTTTACAATGCTACATTGAAAATTGCCTTTCGAGGGGCTGGTGCAATGGCTCAGTGGTTAAGAGGGACGTTGCCCAGGCAGAGGAGCCAGGTATGGCTTATGGATGAGCTTTCAGAAGACCGGAAGCTTCTTCTGCCATCCTGGGTCTCCTGCACACAGATGATGCACATACACACACACCCGAGCACACACACATAAATATAAACATAAAATCAAATCGATATTTTAAAAGTACCGTATAAAAAGGGTCTTCCTCCTCCTCCTTTTGTTTCTAGGTATTTTATAGGCAGTGTCCTAGTTAAAGAGTGATCTTACTGATGTGAGAGTTCTGTGGGTATGTGTGTCTATGTGTGTGCATGAATTCATGGTGTGCACATGGAGTTCAGAGGACAACCTCAGCTGTCAGTCCTCACCTTTTACCTTGTTTGAGGCGGGGATCTCTTTCTCATTCTGCTGCTGCATGTGCACACTATGGTGCCCTAGCCTCTGGAGATCCTCCCGTCTCCTCCTTCTGTCTCCCTGTGGGAACACAGGGATGCTCACCCTATGTGCCTTTTATGTGGGTTTTAGAGATTCAAACTCAGATCTCTGTTAGTTGAAGGCCAGCCTGGTCAATAGAGAGAGTTCCAGACAGCGAAGGCTATACAGAGAAACCCCAGAGAAACCCCATCTCAAAAAAACCAACCAAACAAAACAACAGCAGCAACAAAGTAACAGCAGAGAAGAGCGCCAGTAAGATGCCATGTAGCTGCTGGGGGAGCAAGAGGGCAGAGCCCATGCATAAAGTCAAGACAAAGTAGAGACAAATAGATTCATAGAAATGGGTTGTTAATCCAGAGAGCTAGTCAATAAGCCTGAGCAACCAGTCAAACAGTTTCAAATTAACTGTATTTATTTGGGCGGTGGGACCAGACAGAAAAGAAACTCCATCTACAAAAAGCGCTCCCTCTTTGCAAGTTCAGCATCCATAAGCTGAGAACGGGTGCTTACTTCTCTATTCAGAGTATTCTCCATCTATCATGAAGGCATGGATCCTGTGTGGCTTACCAGTACTCCTTGGTGGTCCTCTGATTTTGGCTTGGACATGGGAGGATAAATGATCCAGTCAGTTAATATTACCTCCCAATTATGAAGAACCTTCGGGCATTAGTTCCTATTTTCTCAAGTTTATTTATTTCTTCACTGTCCTGTTGAAATAAACCCTTAAGACTTTTACTTACACCACTTAAAGTAAGAGTTAGGCCCCTAGTCTTATTTTTATTTATTTATTTTTTGTTGTTGGTTTTTGTTTTGAAGCATGGTTTCTCTCTGTAGTCCTGGATGTTCTGGAACTAACTCTGTAGACCAGGGTGGCCTCAAACTCACAGAGATCCTTCTGTCTCTGCCTCCTAAGTGCTGGAATTAAAGGCATGTTCCACCACCGCCAGGCAAGGCTAATTAATATGCTAGTAGATGTCTTACTTACAGGCATAAATCAGTTGGTTTGTTGAGTTGATCCAGCTGTGTCCCAATTTTCTTGCTGTGAAAAATACCATGACCAAAAGGAACTTGGGGAGAAGGGGCTTTGTTTCCTATATTAATTCCTACATTAAGAAAAGCCAAGAGCCTGGAAGCAGGGGCTAAAGGAGAGGTCACGGAAGAGTGCTGTTTACTGGCTTGCTCAGCCTGCTTTCTTATACCATGTAGGACCACCTGTCCCAGGGTGGCACCATTGGCAATGGGAGGGGCCTCTCACATCAATGTTTTCCTGCTGCCTGCCCATTCAGATTTCTTCTCCAGCACCTGTAGGCCTCCATGCTTCTCCTCCATGCTGATAATTGGCTAAACCTATGAAACTGTAAGCCAGCCTCAATTAACTGTCTTCCCTTTTTGGGGGGGGGCAGGGTTTGTCTGTAGCTTTGGAGTCTGTCCTGGAACTAGCTCTTGTAGACCAGGCTGGTCTCAAACTCACAGAGATCCACCTGCCTCTGCCTCCCGAGTGCTGGGATTAAAGGCATGCGCCACCAACGCCCAGCTAAATGTCTTCCTTTTAAGAGTCACCGTGGTCATGGTGTCTCTTCACAGCAATAGAAACCCTAACTTTAAGACACCATGGGAGGAACTCAAACAGGGCAGGAACTTGGAGTCAGGAACTGACACAGAAGCCATGGAGGGGGTACTGCTTACTGGCTTGCTCTTCATGGCTTGCTCAGCCTGGTTTATTTAGAACTCAGGGTCCCCCCTCACCCCGGGGGACCCCACCTACAATGAGCTTGGCGTTCACACATTAGTCATTAATTAAGAAAATGCCCTGCAGGCTTGTCTGCAGCCCTGTCTCATAGAGACATTTTGTCAACTGAGGCTCCCTGCTCTCTAGTGACTCTGGCTTGTGTCAAGCTGACATACAACTGTCCAGCACACACTGAGTCCTGTTCCCTTCTGGAACCCAGTGAGCACAGTTTTCTTGTGGGTGTGACCTTAACTTGAGCTCATGGTGACACAGGTGGTGCAAATGGGCTGCATTTGGGCTCTGTATTGACAAAGGGTTGTCTTATGAGGGTTGGTCTTGATTGACAATGTGATAAAACTTGAATCCTTATGGGGAAAAAAAAACCTCATCAGCATGCCTGTGAGGGAGTTTTTACATTCATGTGGGAAGACTCATGATGAGGAACTAGAACATACAAATGCAAAAGTAATAATTAAAACAAAACAAACAAACAAACAAACAAACAAACAAAAAAAAAAACGTGGGCCGCAGTCCTGAACTGAACGAAAAAGAGAAAATGAGTGAGAAACCAGCATGCCCCGCGCTTCCTGACTGGGGAGACAACGTGACCAGCTGCTTCAAACTCCTGCTGCCATGATCTTTCTTTTTTTACTTTATATTGTAAACCTCCTTGAAGCGCCAGCATAGCCATAAACTCACCCATTTCCGCAAAGCAGGTGCAATCAATCTACCATGTGCAATCTGTGGCATAGGCTATGCTCTGTGGGCCCACACATTCATCCCCATCAACCACCCAGCCTGTAGGCAAGCATTTTGAACACAAACTTCAGTAAGTCTTTGAAGGATTATTTAAGGACTGGAGCTGGGGGAGGAAGGGGTCTAGTTCAGTGGTTGGATGCTTCTCTAGTATTATACAAAGGCCTGGGAAAAGACAAAGAAGGAAGAAGAGAGAGGGGAGGGAAGAGACGGAGAGGAGGAGAAATCTGACCTAGACCCTGAAGTGAGGTAGATGAACTCTCAGTTCTTTGCAGCTTTCTGGCCGTCAGTGTCCATTTCAGCCTGGACCTTCAAGTTGATAGCATGCCAGAGCATGTAGATGAGAAGCTGCCAATCCGACCCGTGGTGTTTATCTCTATCCTTTGCCTGTGTCTTTAGATATTTTCACCCAGACACTGGCAACTGGCTGCTCTATGTATTGCTGCTATCCTGGTAATCAAGGATGTTCATCTTTCCAGTTGTCTGTTCTGATCTGTCACGGATGGCAGCCATTGCCTCATAGACATGGGAGGTGGTGTTGATTTCCTAGCTAACTTACAAGGTAATGTTTTCAGTAGGACACATAAAAGCTGGCAGAATTTTGAATTATGAAAGAGTTTGTCTGCAGAAAGGCTGTGATGTTTTTTATAGATTTGTTTGGGAGGGAGGTCCACAATTGCCTTCAGGTAATGGGGAAAAACCAGTCTTTAAAATAATTGGGGGTAAGACAGTTTGGTTTGGTGTGGTGGTATTGGGCATGGGAATTCTGGAACTGAAAGAGGGCGGTATGAATCAGAGATGCATCCGAAGGCTTCGAAATGTTGCACAGATGCAAACACATCTTGGTCCTCTTAGCAATGTAATTTTCTTGCAGAGATCTATTTTTATTTTTGTCCTTACTGGGATCCAGTAAGCAGCCTGCTTTGAAGTAATCCACGACACTTGGCTCCTCCTGTGGTGTTTTCTCTGCTCACGATACACTGGCCAGCCATACCCCATGATTACAAACGCCACTGCAGACTTTTGTTACTCAGTCTCGGCTTCTTACTTCCCTGGGTGAGGGCACCGCTGCTCGATTTCCCACGTATGTTCGCTGATGCGGAGATACTCTGCTTGACTTGGATTGTGGGAACACATGGAGGGAACAAGATGGCCCAAGCCGAGGGGTTGATCTGCCACTGAGACTGCAGGTGAGCTTCAAAAGTACGTATTTCTTTCTTTTATTTTTTTGGTTTTTTCGAGACAGAGTTCCTCTGTGGCTTTAGAGGCTGTCCTGGAACTAGCTCTGTAGACCAGGCTGGCTTCGAACTCACACAGAGATCCGCCTGCCTCTGCCTCCCGAGTGTTGGGACTAAAGGTGTGCACTACCAACGCCCGGCCAAAAGTACGTATTTCTTTGTGCTTTCCCTGTCTTTTTCAGCTCCTGTGTGCTACCTTTTCCGACCACGTGTTCAGAATTTGTTTTAGTGCTATGTAGTTATTTGTGCACACAAAAAGAAAACATAGCAACGTGATACAGCTAGGAGAAGAGATTTTTTTTATTCTTCCTGTTTTTATACAGTTCCCAAATACTATTTCTTTTTTTATTGTTGTTGTTGAGATTTTTATCTATTTTTATGCGTATCAACAATGCTTGCCCGAATGGGTGCCCTTGTACCATGTGTGTGCAGTGCGTACAGAGGCTGGAAGACAGCAACTGGTCCCCTGGGATCGGAGTTACAGTTAATGGTTAGCTGCCATGTGGGTGTTGGGAATTGAACCTTTGTACTTAACCACTGAGCCATCGCTCCAGTCCCAGACAAAAATTAATTTAAAAAAATAGCTATCAAAATTATTTCCTTTATGGACTTTAGTAGGCATTATAGAGCAACCTTGAAAATTCTGGCCTGTCAGCTTCTAGAATCTTGTTATTTTCATACCCTGGGCAATATTTCTTGGGGATTGTGAAGATTTAACCTAAGGCCTCTTAGTCTTCTTTTATTTTAACTGAAAGTCAATTCTGTTCATACAATATATTCTGATCATGGTTTCCTCTTTCCAGCTCCTCCCAGATCCTCCATACTTCTCCAGTTCCACATGTTTTCCTGTCTCTTCAGAAAACCAACAGGTAAGTAAATAAAAAGCAAAGTAGAATAACAAACAGACAAAAAGCATAAGAAACTCATACACACAGAGACACCCACACACTAAAAAACAAAAGCTAAAAACAGGAAACCAGGAACCATAATGTACAAGCAAAATACCGGTAAGGTTAAAAAAAAAAAAGCCATCCTAGAGCCTTCATCCAGTAGCTGATGGAAGCAGAAGCTAAACACTGAGCTGAACTCCTGGAATCCAGTTGCAGAGAGGGAGGAGAGACCAGCAAAGAGGTAAAGACCATGCTAGAAAAACCCGCAGAAACAGCTGACCTGACCAAGTGGGAGCACACAGACCCCAGTCGTAAAATTAGGGAACCAGCATTGATCTAAACCAAGCCCTCTGAATGTGGGTGTCAGTTAGGAGGCCTGGGCAGTGTATGGGACCTCTGAAAGTGGAACCCGTGTTTATCCCTAGTGCACAAATGGACTTTGGGAGCCCATTCTCCATGGAGAGATACTCTCTCAGCCCAGATACGTGGGGGAAGGCCCAGGTCCCCATATAATATGACAGACTTTGGAGATCCCCCATTATAACGATATTCGATGCTATATATGGAAAACAATATATTTATTTACCAGAGAGAGAGAGAGAGAGAGAGAGAGAGAGAGAGAGAGAGAGAGTCGCACAAACCAAGAGTTAGAAGCATGGCTGGCTTCCAGGAGAAAAAAGGGGAGCTCCTTTTCCTTTCACTTTCTTTTATCTCTACCTGTGCTAATTTACTTGTCCCCGCCCTGATGGGCGGATAGCTTTGTGGGGTTCACTCCTACACCCCATGGAAGGTCTCACCCTCCTTGGGGAGTGGATGTGGGGGATGGGATGGGGGGCTTGTGGGGGGTGCGGGAGGATAGGAAGGACAGGGAACTGGGATTGATTGTAAAATAAAATTATTTCTAAATAAAAAAAAAGTTGAAACAAAGCAATGTGAGACTTTCAGTCTTCTTTTTACAAAGGATTTATTTATTTTTGTTTTATGTATATGAGTGCTTTTCTTACATGTATGTCTACCACACATGTGCAGAACCCACAGAGGCCACAGGAGACACTGATCCCCTGGAACTGGAGTTACAGATGGTTGTGAGCTGCCATGTGGGTGCTGGGAACTGAACCCTGGTCCTCTGCAATATCAGTTATGCTCTTATCTACTGAACCATCTCTCCTGCTCCTTTTCAGCCTTCTTAGCTGTTTTAATATTTTCCCCAGTCTTGACTATTTGCTCTGTATTGCTTCTAAATAACATGTTTCTCTGTGTGTGTCTCTCTGTCTCTCTCTGTCTCTCTTTCTCTCTCTCTCTCTCTCTCTCTCTCTCTCTCTCTCTCACACACACACACACACACACAGACACACAGACACTGGAGTGGACGTGTACACACACACAGTGATCCTTTTCTTGACCCACCATTTGTAACTTCCTCCAGTATACCAGTGCAGTGCTGCTTCTGCAATGATGAATAGTTTGCCTGTTTCAACAGTAAACTGAACATCTGACTCCCTCCTGAGGAAATACAGCATTGTTCCACTTTTCTGAAGTATCTGGTGTTGTGTGAAATTTCTGGTATTGTCAGAATGGGGCGAGTTTGCATGTTCTGGTAAATACAGAGACAGCAGCTCCATACAAAACCTACCCAGTCTTCATCACTACAGTTTAAAAGTAGCAAATCATAGAATCTGATGGGATAGTTTCCCTGGTTGATTCAGTGCAGTAGCTGCTATGTTGAATTGTTCCCCAAATCTTGAAGATGTAGCTAGTTCAAAAAATCCAGACTTACTACGAGTGTAAGTGACCGGCTATTTCTTTTTACTTCTTCTAATGTGACTATTAGAAAATTTTGAACTGCTTAAAGTCACTTGGCCAGCCTTGTGTTTCTCTTTAGCACCTGTGTGCGCATAAGGAGGTCAGGAGACGACAGATTACTATGGGTTATTCTTCCATGTTACAAAAAGTGATGAATTGTAACCTGATCGATAGTAGATATCTATGCATCTATGTGTTATACAGCTTGTGTACACAGATCTGACATTGTAGACCAATCATTCGATTTAGTGAAAGTAGGGTGGCTGTGGCTTACAGGCTTAATTAGCCTCCTCCACAGAAGTTGCGGATAGAGATGAGATGATGGACGGAAGGAAGGAAGGCTGTGAATGTGTGCAGAAGTCAAAAGGACAAAACAGTGGTCGGGGGGCTCCTGAGAGCACCTACTTTGGATTTAATTGTCTAGTCAGTTTCCAGCCAAGGATGTGGAAACCTGATATCTGCCTAGCATAAACCTGAGGACAAGCCCTGCCAACAGAATGTTGGGGTAGGTGCTCTTGCTCAGTGGTTCTGGAAGGAAGTGAGCCACAGAGGGTAAGTCTTTTTTTTTTTTTTTTTTTTTTTTTTTGAGACAAGGTTTCTCTGTATTGTTTTGGAGGCTGTCCTGGAACTCACTCTGTAGACCAGGCTGGCCTCGAACTCACAGAGATCCACCTGCCTCTGCCTCCTGAGTGCTGGGATTAAAGGCGTGCGCCACCAACACCCGGCTAGGGTAAGTTTTTGAGCACTAAGATATCATAGAGTTTGCATTACGGTGGGGACTGACTTGGGATCTATCAGCCTTCCTTATTTTTATTTCTTCCCCTTGGATCTGGGGGCGTCTATCCTGTGCCTGCCCCCACCATTGTCTTCTGTAAACTTACAACTCGTTTGGCTTCACAGGAGCACAGCTGACAGGCAAGGGATTCTGCCTCTGAATGAATCACACCTCGGGTCTCACACCCTGTGTCTGACTTACACTTAGAAGGCTGAGAAGTCGTTTATATCTAATTTAGACAATATTTAGTTGATACCTCATGTGCTGGAATATGTTCAGTCCTTTTAAGGATGGAATGAATGCAGATAACTTGTGAGACAAACATACATTTGAGGGGGTCCTGACTCCTTCTGATCCCCTCTTCTGTAGATGATGACCCCAATGCCCCCAATTCTCAGAGGGAGTTCTCCTGAGAAGCAACGTTTTTCAACTCTCCGTGTCGTGCTGATAGTAGTTACCATCAGGCCTTAAGAGACTAAGCAGAGTCCACACAGAAATGAAGCCGGGGCTCCTGGAGATTTGGCTGGCTAAGACTCCAGGCCCTTGCTTCTCTGGGCTCAGCTCATCCGGTATCTTCTGCTTACACTGATGTGGTGTTTGATTTCTACATACTGCTTCCTACCCTGAGCCTCTCCACTCTCATCTGTCAAATGGGTTGATTTGAGGCAGAGAATTGCTGCAAAGCATTTTAGAGCAGGCCTGGCCCCGGTAGTAGGTCTGTTTCCTCCTGAGGCCTCGCTCCCGTGCCCAGCACACTCCTGCGATCACTCCAGAACCCAGCCCTCTTTGAGGGAAATGAAGCAACCCATACAGGCTCCCCCGGTAGCTTCCACTGTGCCCTGCTCCAGGACAAGGAGACTTTCCTTCTAAGATACAGGGTGCAGCAGGCCCCGTGTGGGGAGACTGCCTAGGGTCTCGCCCCATCACAGGGAAGTGACCGATTCAGCTGCTGAACCAAAAGGCAATCAGATAGATGAGAGCTGAAACTGCTTCTGGTCCCCTTGGGAACTCAAGCGGGAAGGGGACCTCTTCCTTTTCTGCTCTCAGCTGGGAAGAGTTCAGTGGAGAATTCACCCCTCTGTACAGACAGCATCCCCTTCCCCTCCCTTGCCCTGCCCCCCTCCACTCCCACAGCCCACCAGTTCTGGGGCAGCCCTGGGTAGCAGTTTGGACCTTTCTTTCTGAACACAATTGACTGGAGGGCCCAAGTCTGGGCCATTCAGACACCACATGGAAGGAAAGCTGGTTTTTTTTTTTCCCCCGTCAGTGCTCTCACAGTTTATAGATGCATCTTTCCCAACTGAGGCAAAAAATGAGCTGGCCTGCCGTCTCCCAGGACAGCTCTTAGGCTCTTTTTTTTTCCCTCCCCTGTGGCTAGTGGGTTCTGAAATTTTAAGGTTTTAACATTTCAAGTGATATTTTTTTCCCCTGTGGGTTCCTACGGACATTGAGTTCAGGCTACCTTTTTTTTTTTTTTTTTGGTCCCCCAACCCCCTAAGCTGAAAGGTTCGATTCTTCCATCTATCCATCAACAAATCACATTGAATGACGGTGCTCAGTGACCCAGGATGCCACCGGAGACAAAACACACCGTACATATTTTCTGGTCTCCCTGGAAAATTAGTGCGAGCACTTTCATCAGAGCAGAGAGGGGAAATAAGCACGGGGCAGCGGAGATCGGCTTTGTTTCTGTTCTGTTTCCCTAAGAGGAGGCTTTGCCTCCCTCGAACAATGACGTTTATGTTATTCTTCACTAAGCAGATGAGTAGAATTCCTGTGAGCATCCGGGGCTGGTGTTCTGCACACATCCCAGGATGGACGCCTCTCCTCCTGGGCTGTGGTAAAGCTGGTCTGTTTCCCCCCCACCCCCACCCCTACCCCGACTTGCTAAAGGTGACACTTAAAAAACATTTTAATTCTAGTTCTTGCCCTATCCACCTCCCACCCCCACGCCCACCCCAGCTCCATTGTGGTGGCTCTTCGGTGCTTGATTCTGTGGAAAACTGGTTGGGGCGCTCTGCACTTTCTCTCCCCCCCCGTTAAATTTTCTCTTTCACGAAGAGATAAGATCTTGCCTTCTGGAAAGGAAGGCAGAGAAGAAGCAGGCACTGGGGGTCCTCTCTGCCACCCTCAGCTAAACTCCCCACCCCCACCCCTGTCCCCAGGCCGAAGACAGTTAATCCCCAACTTCACAGAGTGCAAAGTTTTGGATGAAAATGTTTGTGTGCCAACGGTCTATGCAAAGCCACATCCCCAGGAGACAAAGCAACCCCAAAAAGCAGGGGTTCAGATGAGTGGTGACAGCACTGGGGAGTCTGGCTCAGAACACCCGGTAGAGGATGGTTTTACAGTCCCAGCAGAGGCAGAAAGATCTGAGGCCACCCTGGGCTACAGAGAAGATGCCAGTACTGCCAGGACTGTTACACAGAGAAACTCTGTCTCAAAAAAAAAAAAAAAAAAAAAAACCACACACACACACACAAAAAAAAGAAAAAAAAATCAATTTCCACACACAAGAAAGGAGCCTCAACCAGGACAACACACTGAAGACAGGCAGGAACGTCCATTTGTTCCAGTTAGCAGTAGGAAGGTTCAAAACAGGGAAAGGGCTTCTGGAACTTAGAGGACTTTGAATTCAGAAGAGCTGCTGGTGAGTGAGCAGCATGCTGGGATGCGTCAATAAAAACATACCATTTCCAACAAAGGCAGTGCTGCTTCCTCTGTGTGGCCCGCCAGCCGTAACAGCACTTGAGCCAGCGGTGGTGACATGTGCCATAAACCAGTACCAGAAGAATGAGGCAGGAGCAACAGCGTGGGTTGTGGAGACAGGACCTCCACAACAAAACAGAACTCTGGGTTAGAATTGGGTCACAGCTCCGTCTTCCGTAGTTGATGATGAGCTGTGGCCTTGGGCAAGATGGTGCAGGGAATGAGTCCCGATACCATGTGTCTACCCTGACAAGTGAACA